GCGACATTGCGCAATTTATTGGACAGACTTGTTTAAGATCACACAGCGTAATTTGGGTGGCATTTTATTTCGGATTTTTCAATCATCTTTTTATTTTTGACAATATCTGTAAATTTAGTTTCCTGCTCTTAATTGGGAATATATACTTGATGGTTTTAAATGCTCCTGAAATTAAGTGCTGCTTGACGAGCCTATATTGTGTATGTATGTGACGTCACTGAAGGCCTAAGGTTGAAATGCACGGCCCGCCACTGCTATCTATCTATCTATCTATCTATCTATCTATCTATCTATCTATCTATCTATCTATCTATCTATCTATCTATCTATCTATCTATCTATCTATCTGTCTGTCTGTCTATCTGGTTCCACCAGTTCAGGGTGTACCCCGCCTATCGACTGAAGGCAGCCGAGATAGGCTGAAGCACATCAGCAGCCTAGTGAGGAGGATAAGAGGGGCTGAAAATGGATGGATTGATGAATGTTTATTTTTTTAATGCATTGGTTGATTTGGCAAACCAATTCAGGGAAACGTGTCCTTTTCTGTGACAAAGATTTCATAAAGTGGGACATCATATTGTCATTGAAAAGATTAATTCACTCATATTTCTTTTGTCCTTTTTAGAATTTTTTGCTTGCCTCACTCACGCTATCACCGAGTGCGTTCATCTTTACAGAAGGCAGCTTTTCTTTTGGAAATCTGGCATTCGGTGAACGTATATGTGGAACTTATATATGATGACATCCATTGACAGCTATTTTGACATGATTACACTGACATTAACTCTTCGTTGCCTAATTAAAAAGGCACTACAATTCAATGAATAGCATACATACTGTAGATACAGGACAATTTTCTGAAGAAAATAAAATGATTTTTGCATCATGTCATTTGTGATGGGATGATCAAGGATGCGCAGGCGGAACTTCTGCCTACACATGCAATGGATTTCAGCCTTACGCCACAGAGGATTACAAATAGTTTTCACTTTCAAGCAATGCGCTATACACCTTGCTAATGATGGTTAAGCAGCGTAAGAAGAAGCATACATCGATCCACCCTATCATCCATGCCAAGACCATTCTTATAGCGAAAATAGCACGTACTGTAAATAGAGGTAATTTTTATACAAAAATTATGGTTGTAAACAGTAGCGTTCGTAACTCAAGGTTGTGCTATCGTTATTTTGTATCATATTGTGACTCTTTCGCCCTTTTGGGCTCCAACGTGCCCTTAGGTCAAAGGTCAAGGGAATGTTTTCCTCCTGTGAATGTAATAATCAACATGTCCAGTTGCTGGTCTCATTGTTCAACACCGAGTCTTTCGTTCCCATCCTTTCATCCATTTAAAAAAAGCAGCAGGCGTGTTGCCAGGGTACTTCCTGTATCTTCGCTAACAAATACACCATGGCCCACATCCGCAATACACAAGTGCAGAGTAAAGTACGAGCACATATAAATAAACACATACAAATGTTCCTCACGGGGGTACCCAAAAGTTTCCGGTCCGGAAAGTCAGACACCGAAACTCAGGAAACAATTGGGTGTCAGAGAGGTCCTTGGGCCCGTTTCAGGCACATTTCCCAAACCTGGTCTGTTAGGTACAGGGCTGTTGCTGGGTTTGCTGAATTACAAGCCACGGAAACAACTCTACATCTGGTTCCCTTTCTTCCCTTGTTGACAAGCAAGTTACCTGGCATCACTCTGCCCCTGGATAGACATGACAGTGTCCATCACTGCTGAGGTTTGTTTTATCTTGCCTGTTTTCAGCCATATTGGCCACAAAAGATAATTATTCCATTATGTGCGATGACATGTTATTCCTCATAGAACCACATAAGTAAAATAAATTCATTACCCAATATGTGTTAAACTAGAAAGGGCAATTTATACACAGCACTCGTAGGTTATTTAACCATCGGAAAGGACTTTGGGGAGTAATCTCTTCACAGATACACTCTACTTCCGTGAAACACAAACTTTGGAGAAAGTACCCTAGTGTGAAACCCGGGGCCTGATTCAAGGACTCCTTGTGTAATGCATACAAAGAAAATGCAGACAAGTATTTCTCTAAGTGCTCTAAGGGTTAAGGTGTTAAGAATTCTACTACTTTAGCGCTCCCGGAGTATTATTGGCCTTTTGATGAAGAGATGTGGGAAGCTTTATATAGGACCCATCCTCATTTTTATGTCAAAAATGTTAGCCTGATTAGAGTTACAGGTGAGCTGGAGCTCACATCTGGGACTGGTAACAGCAGGGCACATAATACACACATGCCCACGTACACAAACATACATATATTTACACAACACTTGGACAATTTTGAGTCTTCAGGTAAACCTGACATTCCTGTTTTTGGAAAAACAAAAACCTCTTGACTGTTAGGCAGTGGTGCTGTAACATAGTATCATATTAAAAATAATAAATCAAATTAGAGTACCGGCAAATATGTTTTTGGTCTTGTATTTAATGACACACTGATGTGTTACTTTTGACAATCATTTCTGACCTGTGCGATACCATTCAACATATCTGTGCAAAATTTCAATAGTTAATCACACCAAGGTTCTATTTTTCTGCCATTTTTTAAAAATTCAGCATAGGTCATACAGCTTTATAAAATACAATTTTCAACATGTTGAAAATTCTATAAATCAATATGTCACTGTGGAGAGGTCGTACCATAATATACGTTTCAGGGTTGACCACAATATCTGTTTTGTGGCACTGGTTGCCAGCCAAGATTGAATTTCTATCTATCTATCTATCTATCTATCTATCTATCTATCTATCGGTCTATCGGTCTGTCGGTCGGTCGGTCGGTCGGTCGGTCGGTCGATCGATTGATAGATTGATAGATTGATAGATTTTTTTCATTCCATAGGGCGGCACGATTGTCGACTGGTTAGCTGCAGTCCACCTCACAGTGCACAGTTCTTGGGTTCCATTTGGGGCTCTGGCCTTCATATGTGGAGTTTGCATGTTGTTCCCGTGCCTGTGTGGGTTTTCTCCGCATACTCCGGTTTCCTCCCCTATTTCAAAAACATGCATGGCAGGTTAATGGAACATTCTAAATTGTCCTTCGGTGTGATTGTGAGTGTGAATGGTTGGTTGTCAATGTGGGCCCTGAATTTTGGGGGGCAACTGGTTCAGGTTGTGCCCACCTACTGCCCAAACAAAGACAGCTGGGATAAGCTCTAGCACGCCTGCGACCCTTGTGAGGATAAAGCAGTTCAAGTTAGACTGGATTGACATGGCAGCACAGAGAGGCACAAATATAACTTAAAAAAGAAATTTGATATACATATACATGTACTGAAAGAACTGAGGAGAACTACTCTAAAAGAAGCGAATAGACAGTTGAGAACAAATTTCAACCATTTCATTGAACAAATGTTTGAATTGAATTTCTAAATGATTTCCTTTCTGATCCAATGGGCTACT